CCCCCTACCTCTGCCCTCTCCCCGCCCCACATCCCGCCCCTATCTCCAACCACTCTTAAATTTACCCACGATTAACCCCGCCCCAAACCGCCTGGTCCCGCCCCCACCTCTCCGGGCCCCGCCCCCTCCCCATCGCCCGCCCCTGTCCCGCACGGTCCCCTTCCTCTCTCTTTGCTTTCGCTCTGGTCTTCTTTCCCCCTCCGGCCTCCCCGGACCCCTGTCGCCTCCCCAGCGCTCAGCCATCGGCGACGCGAGAGGGGACAGAAGGCAGAACGGGCTGGGCGCTGAGGCTGGAGAAGAAAACTGGAGTCTTTCTGGTGGAGCAACGACCTCGGGAGAGGAAATGGGGTGCGGAAGGGAGCTCAGCGGGGGACCGGGCTGATGTCACTAGAGAGGACACAGCAAAAGGCTGCGTAACTTTTTATCTGGGGATAATTCCAAACAGTATTTGGATGCGTAGGAATGGCGCAGAGCACACCTGGGTTCAGCCACCAAAGCTTCCAGTCCCTGAGCTGAGCATCCCTGCGGCTCCCGGCCCTCTCCGTCCGAGTCCGTGCTCACCACCTGTCTCCATGATCAGTCACCTGCCATGCATGCACTACTCACAGCTGTCATTTACCTGACTTCTACCAGACCTCCAGTGTCCCCACGCCTCCAAGGACTTTTCCAACTTGCACCTTTGAATAAAGTCAGCTTTTGCCAAATTTTTAGTGTTTTACAAACCTGGAGATTAGACTTTAGTAAAACAAACGAAAACCTCCCCACCTTAAAGCCTAAGGTGTTTGAGAACCTTTTGTCTGTCCAGTTCCCTCCCCACTCCCAGCTTTGGAATTCCCTGGAAGGGGTCTGGCAGTGTGTGGGTGTCGGTGGGCTCTTTCTCTAGGCCTGGGCCCTACTGGTTCTGTGCTTCTGGGCTCCTTGAAGCAATTACAGAGCATGGTAGTGTCCATCTGGTGTCCAGTTCCCAAAGGCAGGTGGCATGGCACCTCTTGCTGTCCATGCTGGGGACATGCTATGGAGTCTGTGCTGATGTTGCCCATGTGAGCTGCTTAGCTCTGGGGCAGAGTAGCATTTCTAAGAAAGCCTGGCAAATTCTCAAGATAAGTCAGGTCGGCATGGAACCTCCATGCACCGAGTACTCAGGTGTGTCTCTGTTGGTCTGTTTCTGGGCTCTCTGTTCTGCCACTCAACTGTTTGCCTGTTCTTTGGCCAGTGTCACACTGTACTAATCATTGTTGCTTTAAAGCACGTCTTGAAGTCAGGAGGTGTCAGTGTTCCTACAATATTGTGTGGGCTATTCTGAGTCTTGCTTTTACACATAAACCTTAGAATAAGTTTGTCAATATCCATAGAACAACTTGCTGAAATTTTGATAGTTTGTGTTTAATCTACAGATCAAGTTGAGCAGAACTGACATCTTGACAACTTTGAGTCTTCCTGTCCATAGACATGGGATGTCCCTCCAGTTATGGAGATCTTGATTTCTTTTGTCCTATTTTCTTGTGCATTTAATTTTTTGGTGCTGAAGTAAATGGCATAGTACTTTTATGGTACCGGGGATCGAACTTGGGTCCTTGCGCTTGTGCAGCAGGCAGCAAAACCACTGAGCTAAATCCCTGGCCCTATGGCATAGTATTTTTAAGGTCAAATTCTAGTTGTTCCTTTATGATATATAAGAAAGCAACCGAGCCAGGTTCAGTGCCACACACCTATAATCCTAAGCACTTTGAAAGGGTGAGGCAGGAGGATTGGAAGTCTGAGTCTTGCCTGGGCAATTTAGCGAGCTCTTACCTCAAAAATAACAAAAGAGCCAAGGATGAACTTTACTGTGAAGGCTCTGGGTTCAATCCCCAGTACTACCAAAAAGAAAAGAAGAAGCAATTGACTTTTGTATTATAACATTATGTACTAGTCATCTTTCCTGTTGCTGGAACAAATAACCGGATCCCCAACAACTTAAAGGAGAGGTTTATTTGGTTCATAGTTTCACAGGATTTAGAGGATGGTGATCTGGCTCCAAGGCAGGAACAGTGTGGCAGATAGAGTGTGGTGGAGCAAAGTTGCTTAGTACATGGCAGCTGGGAAGCAGAGCAGGGAAAGAGCACCAGAAAGGAAGGGGTGAGGGACCAGATATTGACCCCAAGTCACACCTCCATGATCCACCAGGACACATCCAGAAATGTGCTTTACTCATCTCCTTTACTACTAAACCAACCTACTTGACAATCTGGCTTAACTGTCCCATCCCACCCCTTGCCCATGGTTACCCAAATACATCTCCTGAAAACATACTTAATTTCTAAATAAACACAAGGTTATAATTCCATCTAACTTCATACACCTGTCTCACGTAAAACCAAAATATGATCATCTCTTTCCAAAACTCTCAATAGTCCTAGCATTGCTAAAATATCCAATTCAGTGTCCTCTAAAATTCAAATTTCAAAAGAAGTTACATAATCTCAAGGTACAAAGGCAAAGGGTAAACATTCCCTTTCTAAAAAGGAGGAATAAGAGGATACCAGAACTGGACCAAAGAAAGACTAAAATCTAGCAGGGCAGATATTAAATCCTGTAGCTCTATAGGCAGCACCCATGGCACATGGTGTCGGGACCTGAGTTCCAAAGATCTCAGGTGGCTCCACCTCACATCCTTTCTAGTTGCTCCTCTCTTGACTGGGCTCCACTCACTGCCCTAGCAGATGCTCTCTATTCCTGTCATCTCCTACTTCCTAGGATCTCCATTGCACTTTTGGCTTCATTCTCACACCTTCACATATTGCTTTCTCAAGGGCTCCTCACCTGGCCTCCCAGGTTTTGTTTGCAATTTGGGTGGAAGTCTCTATGACCCCACAACTCTTGTATTTGCATGATGGTAAAACCAGCATCAAATAGACAATGCCAAATTCTGCTGCTAGCATGAACAGTAACCAGGACCACTTGGGCAGCGGCAGCAGTGGCCTCTGAGCACCTGGATAGCTGTACATGTGAAATGAACCCTGGGGAACCAGTTCCCTAGGCGGCCCGTGGCAAGCAAATGGGAATAAGCCCAGAAGCTCTCTTCTCAAATGAAAGGTTTCTACTTTTGCACTCTTGAGCCTGCCATAGGTGGGGTCTTGCTGATTCCTAAGATGCCCTCAAGTCATTTTTCATCTTGTCCTTGTTCAAAGTATTTAGTGTCTTTTTAATGGTGCTAATCTCTTCAGAAACCACATGTCTTTGATCCCAATTTTACTTGTTGTTCTTTTCAGGCCAAAATTTGTGTTTTTCAAATGGTTCTGCTCTGCTATTTGCTCCCAGTTCTCACTGTAAGTCTACCTTAAGGTAGCCATCAGTACACATGCCACAACCTGAATGCTAGGCTGCCTTGAAATTTCTCCACCAGATTAATTAGTCTACCACTCTTAAACTCAACCCCCTACAAAGTCTCAGGACAGGGGCAGATGTAGGCAAAAAAATTCACTTTTTTTTACAAGAGCATAACATAGTGGCTTTTAGTTCCCTCAGTTCTAACTGAAACCTCACAAGTCTGGCCTGACATGAGCATTCTTGACAGCAATCTGTCTCCTGAGGTCTGACCTATTAGCTTGGTTTATAGCATTTTAGGCTTGCTTTAGCCTGCTTTTCCAAAGTCCTCCTGCAAACTAGTTCCAAAGGCTTCTGAACCACATGGTCAAGTACAGTCATAGCATGAGTGTCTTTATGAAGTGTAATTAAAAAACACAGTGAATGCTGCTGCCAAGTGCCATCCACTAGAAAGGTGGGCTTATAAAAACATTACTATGTGTCCTTATCCACTTTATTCAGTGGATATGGCACCATACCATTTCTGACTGTTCCCTAAGTCAAAATGACCATGAGAAGGAAGCATTTTGAGTTGATTCAGGGCATTGAGGCAGCCAGGGCAGTACAACTAAGGACACTCATAAGAGAAGACTGTCAAAACTGCTTCAGAAAGTGGCAAGAAAAAGGTGCTATCTGCGTGAAGTGAAAGGGAGTATTTTGAGGGGGGAACTAATGGCAATGTGTCTTTACCATAATATTTTTTTAAATTAAAAAATTCACTGCATTTTTTTCAATGCCATCTTGTATGAATTCAATGCTACAAATTTCCTTCAAAGTACTGCTTTCCCTGTATCCTGCAAATTTTGATAAGTTGTATTTTCATGTTCTTTTATTTCAAAATATCTTTAAAGTTTTTAAAGACTTTAAAATTTTTTTAAAATAACTTTATTATCAAATACACACATACAAAAAATTAAAACCATTCAAAGAAGAACAATGCAAGGGGAAAAAACTACAATAATGTTCAAATACAGTAGAAGTCAACCAGAACAAAACTGAAAAGCACTTAAACATTTTTCCATATAATTTAAAAAAGCATCTCAAGCACCAACAAGACACCAGAGGATGCAATTTGTTTCAGAAAGATCCCCCAAACCAACACTGAACAAATAATGATCTGGAAAAAAATTCCAGTTAGTTAGCAGACTCCACATAAGCCAAGCTTCTCCCTAATTTTTATTTCGATGCAGTCATATGACATGTGATGGAAACACAATCTGAGAAATATGTTATTAGACCATTTCATCCATGTGTATCCTTAATTACACTTTCAGTCTCTCACACTAGAGAAACTATTGGGTATTTACACATGTGTGTCCTATTTATTTCACTTAAGAGTATGGCTTCAATATGCATCTATTTAGTTATGTGACTCTAGTTTTTCATTCTTTATGGCTGAGTAGTACTCCATTCTATAAAAAAACCCACATCTTCTTTATCCAGTTTTCAGTTGATGGGC